CCCGAGTTATAAAGACAGAAGCTGCGTGTTCTGTCCTGAAGGGACCCGAGTAAATGCTAACGAGCACATAACGAGCAAGTAATTGCTACAGACTGTTGGAGAATCGACCCGCGAAAGGCCCAATCCATTTCACAGCAGGATCCACCTTAAGATTTTATTTTTTTTTTGCGCTCTTACGGACTCTCTAAATTTATGCACCGAAGCCCTTACGTAACACTGACAGCTGACACGAAATAACGCCTTCCTACACAGCTCGCGGTCCCAACGCGCCCCGCGGGCCGCCCTCAGCCCCGTTCCTCCACATGGGGCCGTGCAGCCGCGGCCCTGCGCACGCAGCGTTTTCTCAGTGCGCCCCCCCCGCCAACCCGGCACGTATCGGGAGGTCACAGCTCCGCTCCGCCGGCACGGCTAAAGTCCGCCTCCCTCCGTGTTCCGAGCCCCGATTCCCCCGCTGCGCAGTACGCAAAGCCCCACAGGAGCGTTGCTGGACCCGCGGGCCGCCTCCCACCGCACCGCCCTTCCTCACACTGCTCCCCCGGCCCTGCGGCCCCCATCAAACCCCTCCGCTCCAGCCTCTCTAGAAACAGTAGAGAGAGAGAGAGAAAAAAAACGAAAAAAGAAAGGAAAAAAAAAACAGAACTGAAGAATTGGGCCGACACCGTTACTTACAGCTGAGAAAAAGGGCAAGCGAGACCTGCGTCCGCCCTGCGCGCACCAACAAAATGGCGGCGGCGGCCGAAGGCAGAACGCCGCTTCTACACCGCCCGCCCCGCTCCCGGAAGCGCTGCGCACTGACGTCACACGCACAGCGGCGGGAGGGGCCTTGGGAGAGGGGGAGGACGCCCCGCCCCCCTGAGCGCCTCAGTAATGGCGGGTTCGGTGAGGGCAGGTGTGGGGCTGTGCGGCGTTGAGCTCCCGCTGCCATTGCAGGGCAGCCCTGAGGAGCTGAGGTCTCAAATTCGTGTTGAGGTTCAAAGACCGCTCTCAGCCCCCAGCATCACCTCACGCAGCGGTGCCCCCCTTTCCCACCAGAGAGCTGCTGTACCCCGGCAGACGTTGCAGCAAAGCGATTTGGCGCCTGGTGGTTCCCACCGTTACATCTGGCTTCACTCTGGCTCTTAAGGTTTAAAGCAGCTCAAGTAGGGACCATAAGAGCCTTCCCTGAGTGCAGGTCGTACGGTGATCAAACTTTCTGCCCAAGTCAGCAGGCTGCAGCCTCCCCTTGGTGGTGCAGAATTGGTCTGACCCCGCAACACAGGTGTTCCTGAGAGGGATCACGAGGACATTCCCAGCCAAGAGGAGCGGGCATGGCAGAGGTGGGGCCGGGCTGCTGTGCTGCTGCCATGGGGTGCCCACAGAGTGCTGCCCTCAGGAACTGTGCTTGCAGGACAGTCAGAGGCTTCAAGGAGAGCAAACCCTGAATTAATGCAGTATACAGTGGACAAATGTGATTGCAAACTCCTCTAGCACAGAAGAGATTTGTATCACCTGAAGAAAGAAGGTACAAACTTGGGGGAGCTGCGTCTGATAGGCCACCTTCCAATTCATTAACTCATGAATTCGCTCAGTGAAAGCACTACGGATCTCTGCCTATTAGTGGGTGCGCTGAAACATCCCAAACTCAGGACCTCTTTCCCAGTACGGCTTGAACACATTTTCCCTCTGACACACAGAACTTTTTTAACTGGAGCACTGAGCGCAATGCCTAATGTGAGTGCTCCTTTAGTTGAACAAGTGCTGGGGTCTTTTTAACAGTCCCCAAACTATCAGCGAACAGTACTAAAATGGAAGACATTTAAATCTGGTTTTCACGAGATTGAAAGGCCTGTTTCTCTTCATTTATTTATTTTTTAGGATAGAAACTGAGTTATGGAGCTCTGTTTATTGCCATTTGTCTTTAGAAAAGCCATGTTACCTTGTAGTCATGTCATGCACCTAATCTCTCAATGCCAAGGATAGCTTTGGTGGTTTGTTATTTTAGCACATAAAAACAAAGCAGTAAGGTCTGCAGTGTTTTGCTTTCCCAACAGCCAATTTCCCTCAGCCCCAGCCTGAGGAATAGGCAGACTGCAAGCAACAGAAAGAAAAGATAAAGAGAATATAAAAAACAACTGTACCATGAAGCAGGAGAAATTTCCTTCTAAGATATCTTGGTTCTCATCTATTAGCAAAAAGGATCTTCAGACTGAAAAAGGGACAGAAATAACTGTTATTCAGTATGAAAATGCAACACACGAAAGCTAGTTAAATTTACTGTTTTCCTTAAGAGGTTTTTGGCTGACAACTGAAGGAGGAATAAATCTGTCAGAAGTTAAGAATAATTAGCTTTTCGTTTTGAATAGTTTTGGAGAAGTGGTATATGTAAATGTCGTACGTTCTTCTTATCAGACACACATAATGTAAATTAAGGAAATTCCACCCTGAAGTAAAAGCCTTACAATAGGCTTCACAGAGAGCAGCCTGTACGCTGTATGCTACAAAGCAGACTTCCAAATATTGCTGCCTTTGTGCTGAACAGAGGACAGTGTGTTCAGAGATACCTCTGTAGACATTCCAAAGAAAAGCCGTATTGAGAACAGTTCGTTTTCCTTCCTGTTCGGGAGGTGGCAGTGGAGACCCGGCAGAAGAGAGACATCAGGCTGCTGGAATTCAGGTGGTATTGCCTGAGAAGGATAAAATCAGAAGTTCACTGGCCAGGACCAGTGATGTAGTGCATAGAGAGTGAGAGCCCCTCTAGAAATGGCCGTTTTTAAAATGGCAGCGATCTAACAATGAAAAGCCAAATTAGAGGAATTAAATCACAATGAAAATGGGAGGGAAACTCTTTTGAGTGCATTTAAAGCTCCTTCTGTTGCCAATTCGTGTGGCATTTCCTTTTGTTTATATGAGATATATCCTTAATTAGCTTATACAACACCAAATGTGTGTACAACGTGAGAGAGTAACTCACAGTGGAACCACGCTTTACTTTGCTCTGTACAACAGAAGACATTACTCTGCAGTGTTATTACCTCAGTGAGACCCATCTGTGCATGCATGAGCAGCTACATTCAAAACACTGCCCTCAAAATGCAAACTTGTGTTGGTTCCTTTTTCAAGAACTTTACAGCAATAGATGATCCATCCTCACAGATGCCATTCAGGAGATGTAAATCTCATTTACTTTTCTCATTGTTCGGTTACAAAATTTAAAGCAGAGGTTGATTACTTTGCCCTGAGCCTCAGGAGGCTCAGTGACAGAGCCAAAATCTCCTGGATTTCAGTACTTTCAGAACTGTGCTTGCTTCTTTTAATTAAAATGTATTGGTTTTGTTTTTTCTTCTCTCTGGTCAGTGCCTGAGTATGGTTGATTATTGGTTCTGCCTGTAGTTTGTGGATTTCTGCACTTTCAGGGTTTGAGTTTTACAGTGCTGGAGAGCCTATCATAGCTGTGCCTCGTTTGGGAGCTCAAGGACAGAGTAATAACAACACGGCCTATTTAGAAGAGGCTGAGCGATGGGGATGGAAAAAGAACACCAGGAACCTTGCTAAGATGTATTAGGGAAAAATGTTATTCATTTCACAAATCACTGTAAGTAATGGGCAGGTGAGGGGCTGTCCTAGATTGTTGTGGCATGTATAAATTCAAGAGATAAGGGGAGCTGTAGTGTGAATAAGCTGTGGGAACCCAATGACAGTGGTACTTCCATCCCTTGACACTTCATTTTTTAAAGAGATACTTTTAGTAGGTTTGCAGTTTATACAGTAGAACACAAAAATGCAAACAGCAACAGCAAAAAAAGCAAGTTCAAATCTGGGCTTGGAGACACATTTCCCTCATTAATAAGACACTGCAATTTTCCTTAGGAAAGCAGGGGTCCTGAACCTAGCATATGTGCACTTGTGTTTATTTGCATTGGTGAAGTTGTGGCCCAGCCATGAGACCGCTTCCTTCGAGCTGTGACAGCTGGCTGACAGGAACTGCCTCTGCAGCCTATGGCACATCCATACAGCATGTGAATCTGCTAAGGGCAATCAGAATGCTGTGCCCTCAGTGACTGGCAGACTGCTGCTAGGGCAAGATGTTTGCTTGCCAGTGTGTACATTGGTTTTAAGTTCTATAACACAGTGCTGGGGTCACCCTGGGCTGAGCTGACCTGATCTGTTCCCTTTTACTGCAAGGCTCATAGGCTCTGCTGAAACTTCAGCTTCTCTCAGTCTGCTTGTAGCATAATTGAGTCTTCCGAGGACTGAGAGGCTTTAACCTGATAAAAGTTCAGGGGTTGACGCTGGGAAGCCTGAATAAGCTCTGGTTCAGAGGAAATTCAGCCATAGTTCCTCTTGGCAAGAGCTGTGCCACTGTGAGAGAACTGGGCTTGTTCACAGAACTGTTCACTTCTGCAGGCTTTGCAGTAAGTGGTGCTGCTTACACAGCCAGGCAGAAAGCAACCCACAGAAGCAATGTAATGCTTTATCAAGGAAACTCCACTGCTAAGCCTCTTTCTTTAAAACAATTTTAAGCTACTTGAAGCATGGATGTGTCTTACTGGACATACTTACTGAAATAGGTCCCCAAATAGAAGCTCTCCAACTACTGCAATACCAATAATAAAAAGCACACATTTAAACACCAGCTGTACCACTAAGTTTTATAGGAATAGACTGAGAACATTCAGGCCAAGCTGCAGCTCTCATTGTGGTATTTTGAGCCTATGACTCCTTTTTGGGGAAACACATTACAGTGAGAAACAATAGAATTTGTCTCTTTTCCTTGCAGTATAAAGCACAGTACAGTCTCCCAAGTGTCTGAGTATGAAGAGAGAAGCAGTGCAGTGGCAGCAAGGAAAAGCAGACGCCACAGGTTCTTTCACATCTATATGCGTATTCATGACTGTTGAGTCAGAAGTATCTTTGTATTTTTTGGTGTTTCAGAGCAATCATTTTCTTTTCAGCCCGTTCTGTCATTCAGAGGTGTTGAAATACCTACTTGAAACAAAATTGGGAAACCAAATGCACACAGCTGGGCCAATTTTTTTTTTATTCTTCTTATTTGACACTCACATTACAAAATTTAGAAACCATAGACAGTTCAGGCAAACTGTTAAAACACAGTATAAATTAGGGGTTTTTAATATATAAATTCTATACACAGGTAAGTTAGCTTGAACATGACTGACAAAAGGATTTCATAACAATCTTACCACAACTGTATAAAAAGGCATGGGAGTAGGACTGGCACTATAATCATGAATGCGGGTTAAGACATTTTCCACAACAGCTATAAAGCATAACAATGACCATGCTATTCTTGCAGTGTTTATGGGGGTACAGTATGCATTTTACCATTAACATTTTGCAATATCTATGTACAGTCACAAAATCATAACAGCCACTTTCAAGTAACCTTACTGTTTTCTGCCTGCGCAGTTGATAAAGTGTTGGTAATTGCTGTGAGGACTTCCAACAAATCTACACGGTTTGAGTATTGTGGAGGGGAAAGGGATTTCAGTTCAGCCTGAAAATGAAATAGCTTAGTTTAAAGAAAAAGCTATGGGAAAAACACAGCCCCTCATTACTACTGTTCCCACAGTCAGTACCTACCAGTCTTTTAATCCATATTTCCTTTTATCCTAGCTTACTCTTCCTTAAAAACTAATTTATTTCCATTTTTTTCCAAGCACAGTTGTAAAAAGGAATTACAATAATAGATGAAACATAGAAGTTGCAAACAGTTTGGGGTACATTTTTGAATGCACATGTTTTCCAGGTGACCAGACACACATCTTTTAATTTCTCAGTCTGAACATAAGGACAGTTCTGTTTACTCATTTTTAAGACTGTGAATAAATGTTTTGGAGTAATATGCTCTTAGGGTATAGGCTTAAGATAGCTGGTATTGTCACATTTCACAGAGCTTGCTAAAAAATCCAAAACTAAAATCTGATTTGTGATTCTGTGATTCTGATTTCTTACCTTCGTATACTGATGAATACTTGCTAAAAGTGAAGAGTTCTGGAACCCAGAAGCCAATTTATTTTTCATCTGTGTTGTGTACTGGCAGTTTTATTTCATTTTACAGGCTGGCTCCTAAGGGAAGTACTTGCCTGTTGGTAAGAATCATATCTTGAAACATGTCTAATAGCTGTGTGCTTGTATCTTTCACAAAGCTTTAAGAGTTAGGAGGATTTTACTGGAACAATTCCTTCTTCTTCAAGGTGAGGACATACTATAAGCAGTAACCCAGCTTGGGCTGTTATGAAAATACATCTCGTGTCAGCTGTCTAGATGATAGCCCCCATTTTCTCGATTCTGTGTACTCATATGCCAAACATCAGGAAACTATCACACACTTAGCTGTCCCCCAAATATGGGGATTGTAGAAGCTTAATTAAATAATGAAAGCAATGATGCAATACTGACCAGTCACAGCTCACTGAGGAAGTTGCATTTCTCTAAAAGGTAGCTGGGTTCTGGGATTTTCTGGTCACAGGTCCATTAAATAGGCTGTGCACATTTCAGAATGAAGTTTACTGTACAGGTATTTAACTTACAGAACAAGCGAGTCCTGAACTTGAAGTCTTCTGCATTCAGGAAGGCCTGGGAGCAATGCTGCACTGCAGTTTTAGTCTGGGCTGGTACTTCTGGTGCCAGGAAGGAAGGGAGAAGGGACTCCTAAAGTGACAGCTCTGGTATATGAGTGCAGAGCCCCTGTATGGCAGAGAACCTGAAAAATACTCCCGTGGCATTTTGCAAGAGCTGTTTATAGAGCAAAATGCCAATTCTGTGGAGGGAAAGGCATCAAGGGGAGAGATGGCAGTCCAAGCCACTCCGAATGTACAGCATTACAGTCTGAGTTTGGCCACAGTGCAAGGCAAGGGATCTAGACAAGTTATCCATAGCTAGCTTTGTTCTGTAACCGAGGTTATAGCCTGAGTTTCAGTGTCTTGCACCTCTGCAGAGGGTATGAAATGCCACCCGTACAAGCTATTAACTTCTAATATATATCTTGCATAGTATACAAATGCAGAATGTGATGCCTTCTGTGCGCACTGACAATGTAGCTGATATTTTTTGCATATCTGAAAATATGCAAAAAGAACTGTAGAAGAAATAAATACAAAACAGGTCTGCCTCCAGATCTGTTCCACTGAAAAAAAAAAAAGGAACTTGTTTGTTGCCATCCCTGCTCAGCTCAGGGACTACAGAGCAGCTAATGTTGATTATAAAGAAAGGGACTCCCCAAGGCAGCGTGCTTCCTTTCCAACATGCCCAGTGTTAAAGTACTGGTACAGCTTGGTGCACGCATCACTGCATGTCACTGTATTCTCTCCTGCCTTGGCCTGCCCAGCTGCCATTGATGTTAATAGGAATAGCACATGCACAGTTATCTTTTTCCACTCTGCTGCCATGCTGTGAAATACAAAAGTTAACAACCATCAAGGTGTTACAATTTTTTAGTACTTATTTTATCATGCTGCTTGGATCTTAAAATCTCTGTCAATGAAGTAACAAATTCTCCACTGTTTTCCGGCCCTCTAGAGGAACTTTTAGTTCCAAGAATTTTCTTGTAATTATTCTGTTGGATGGAGGATGAAATACATTTTGCCTCGGGTGAATTTCCAATCATGTCCTACCTTTCCAAAGCATTGTATCCCAGCTTCACAAACCTCAGGGCTTGGACAGGAATTTGCATGACAGGTTGTACTGGACCATCTATCACTGCTGCACCCCATCAGAGTATGCACTGCTGTATGGATACCAGGTATGTCGATGCTGTTCCCCAGACACAATTCAGTAATTCCCTGCACCAAATACTGAGGTAATCTCATTTAACAGATAACATTAACAAAAAAGAAAGGAATGTTTTTGGCCCACAGTTGAGCCTTTTGAGAAGGGAGCAAGGAGCGTTGCCTTGCTTCCTCACCTCTTCCTAACCCTATTCTGCAGGCGCAACAATGGAAATACTCAGTTTACAATCAAAGGGGTTTTAATTTCCGATCAAAGACACTCCTGAGACAGTAAGGCTGATTACTACTGCTTTAAAAAGAAAAAAGGATTCAAAACCAGAAGGCCAAATTCTGCTCTCAGATGTGAATTAATTCTCTGGATCAAATTCCTTGAATTTGCTTCTGAAACGTCAGCAACGTCAGAGAATACATTTGCCAAGGCTGGATTTTCACCCTATTAAGTGCACCTGCCCATCTGGGAGTCGGAACTGGCCCTAACAAAAGGCCAAGGACTATTCAAGTTGCCAATGTAATTTAATTCCTATGAATAACCCTGGAGCAGTGCTACAGTTACAGTACTGCTCCAAAACCCATCAAAATCAATTGGAGTTTTTCCCCAGGCACAACACTGAGCTTGAGTTAGGTCTCTATAAAACACTGTCATTATTAGGCCAGATACTGTAAGCAAAACAGTATCTTTTCTACTGATAACTCCAGTATCTTTTCTTTTTGATAACTTCAATTATATATTCAGTAATCTGAATGGTGTTCTAAGCTGGATTTACCATCATGCAAACCAGTGCTTGTGTGCTTTAAGAAAAGGTGCATAAACTATTGCAATAAAACATGACAAACTGACCAAGGTATCAGTAATGGGCTGGCTTAATTGTAAGCAGGTGATTATCTTATCAATACTGACCCCATCATAACATATTCCCAAGCTAAAGAAAACATCTCTATGCTTGAACTAATTCGAAGTGCCTTAGCAGCCGTGTCTGCACTGTGTTGATCCCAGCACTGCTGAGATCACGGTTTGATTCCAGACCTGCATGTCCTCTATCTGTGTGGGGAGCTCCCAGCAGTCGTACAGCAGGACTGCCACCTGCCTAGCAGAGGGATAAGGATGTATTGTGCAAGTGCACCCTGCTGCGTGGGGTTCTTCTGGGTGAGACTCCACAAGTTCTCTACCTTCCAAATTCAGTCATGGCCAGGAGATCTATGTTTAATTATCTATCCACCTTTAATGAGGTGATGCGATTGATGCTGACGTGAAATTGAGAGCGAGTCTGAACGATTAACTGTCTTTTGGAAGGCACTGAGCAAGTTCCTCCGCTGACTTCAACACAAGCTGAAGGCACACAACTCGTATTTTGATGAGCTTTGGATCTAGCCCTATGTTGCAGAATGGCACTCTCAAAAAATGAAATACAGGACTTGTGCTGCACTCTGATTACACAAGAGGAGGTGCAGAAATGATTTAATATATTTAGGTCTTTTCAAATATTGCTGTATAGGCAGAAGCTAAGTTAATGCTTCTGAAAGACTGTATCATCTCACTGGCTTACTGTGTTAACACCCTAGGATGATCTGGGGCTTCTGAAAGTCCCAGCTCTAGTTTTGCTCTGTTCTCTGCTGCATTAGCTCATGCAGTTATCAGGGAGGCAAATTCACCAAAAAATAGTGGTGGAAAGCCATGGCATAACTAACTGCAACTTGTCTTCATGTTAGTCCAATGACTACATGCCTTACAGTTATTTTGCAAGGTGCAAGCAGCATTTCTGGAGATCATACACTGTTCTGTGTACTGGCATCAATATGCCATGCACCTCTGTGAAGCATTAATTGCTTTAGTATCCGCCAAGAGATGAGGATGTTTAGCACCTTCAAAAAAAACCCCTTTTAAATGTGGGATTTATACAAAGGCTTAAGGATGATCTGGTGCTTCTGAAAGTCCCACTAAGCCCTTAATACCTTCCTAAATCTAACTTCAATGCTTCCATTTTAAGTATTGGGGATTGAAAATTTTGGACCGTGAATGTAATTCAGTTTGCAGCAGTGATAAATGCTATGAGTCCAAATTTTAACTCACAAAATTGCCTGAATTCATGGAAGGTACCCGAGGCTGTAAAATATCACGAGAAATGGAAATTCGATTCATCTTTGGGTGTTATCATCTCAGCTGTACCGGCCTCTATTGATCATTGGAAAATGATCATTTGCACTTTAAAAAGCAGTTTTAGGGAAGGGCCCATCCACCCACAGTGGGTTTCAGACAACTAAAAAACCCACTCTGCCATGAAGTCATGCTGTGCACGTGCAATGCAGACATTACAAAAAACAACAACAACAACAAAAACCCATTTAGCAAACACATGTAAGCATTGCCATTGTTTATGGATATGTTTATGGTTATTGCTCTGGATTTGGTTGGAATTAATTTTTTAATGGCATCATTTTGGAAATGGTTCTGCTGGAAGCAATGGCTGTGTGTGTATGTTTCCCTGTATAGCTCTCAGCTCATGGACAAAAATTAACAAACAGTATATCAACAGTATCACCGGAAGAATTGCTCCCTGGCTGGAAGGATGCCATCCCATCCTCACACTTAGTTCTTCCATACAGAGCCCGAGAACAGACATGACATTTTTATGTTCCCCCTGCTTGAACTTGTGTGCTGGTAGATAAATGAAGAGGAGAATCAGCGCTCTCCATCACATCCCTGTGAACGCACATCTAGAAGAAGCTGTCCTGGACAGCTCAGCCAGCTGCAAGAGTGGATGCCACGTGGCCATGATCCAGATTGCACAGGTTTCCACAGATCAAAACCCAACCTAAGAACTGCACCGGAGATACCAAGCGTTAGCATATGACACAGAACATGTCTCAGGCCACTGTTCTCGAGGTCAGCTCAGCTGCCTGGGCTGCTCTCAACTACTGCCTCACCAACGCCTCGTATTTCAACACCTCACTCAGGCATGGACAACCTTTGTGAGGTCTGGCAGTAGACAGGAGCAGTTTCAGCTTTCTGTCTAAAAGCACAGGCCAGTACAGCCAGCTTTTATGATTAGCTTCAGTTTTCCAAATCCTATGGCCATTTCGAATCACTCTAAATTGAAATAAAGCAGTTAATGATTTCAAAGAAAGCTTTATGTCCTGCTATTGTAGACAGAGTGGAACATCTGAAAGGTCAGCATCAAGTCAGTAATAAAGCAAAGTATCATAGGGCATTAGGTTTCAGTTAAGCTTTTTGAGGTTTTCTGGGGGGCAAGTGGGAACAGCCCTTCCACATACATACAGTCCTTCCACACACAAACTCTTCTGGCTTTTGACTCTAACATCCACATAGTTCATTATCACATATTATATATGTTAAAGTAGCACCATGATCACTATACAAATTTAAAAAGAAGACGTAGTCCCTGCTTGCTATTACCTGTAAGGAAGTGGTAGATACTGTTTAGAACCTAAAAACTAAAGAGGAAGAAAATGGTTATCTGCTAACGAATGACAGATTTTGCACTTGAGTGCATTCATTCTAGCCTGAAACCCTTTGTCTTTTTAAAGAAATTACCCTCTCTCTTACAGAGCAATTATTTCTTCCTTCCTCTTAGTATCAAATTGCAAAATAAACAGTACTGTATAATACTGTACAATAATGCCGTATCCTTTTTCTTTAAGCGTGATAAAGCCCTCTAAAGGATGCACCTCAGCAGGAACGAAATTATGGAATAGGCTACACACATTAAATAGAGGTAAACTGAGTCCATCTTCTTCAGTTCAGCTTTAGATGTTGGGTGTAGGGGGTCCTTAAGGACTATCACATACAACCTCCTCAGATCTGCCAACATTCACAGTAAGAAAAACAACAGCAGAGGCAGGAATAGTAACTAAGCAATAGTCATACTTCAGATTGTTCTCTGTAAAAATTCATGGGATTTGCACAGCTCTCCCATGCTGATGTGATCTGTATGTGACATACATGGGTATCTATGAGCGACTGATGTCATTTTCATCCGCTGGAAGCTCATACCTGTTGCAGTCAGTGCTTTGTTCAACAAGGCTGGGGGACTGCTAATGTTAGATTAAGTAGTTCTTTCTTCATTCAGCAATTAACCAGATTGCTGCAGTGTCTGATTTGATTTTATAATCCTCAGAGGGTTTAAAGAGCTGCTGTCTGAAGCACCTGCTTCTGAAATATTTATGTCTATATATATATTTTTTTCCCTTTGCAGTACCATGGTTCTCCATGCTCCTGATTTTCTTCTATTTTCCTTCAGAGGCAAAAGTTACAGTGATCCTGACGCAGTTTGGGCTCAGCCACAAATAATCTGTTTGTCCTTCCTCTCTGTCTCAGAGTTAGAAAAGCGTCCTTGTGCACAGTTCTGTTGATTTCAGTGGATGAATCCAGTTCATCCATCACGTTAGGCAGTCAAAAAAAAAAAAAAGAAAAAAAAAAAAGAAAAACAAAAAGGCTAACAAAAAACCCAAAAAAAGAATTTGTCTAAATCCCAAACAGGCATCTTTGGAATCAGTAGTGCAAAATGTTTGCGGATTTCTTTTCTTTGACCTACTGCAGTGATCTCTTTATCTTCAAGTCTTTCCTAAAATAGTGGATCTGTAAATTTAAAACATAAGAACAATGAATAAGTAGTAATTATAAAGGGTGTTGTTTTTTTTGTTTCCTTTTGTTTTTATATCACTGTCTTCAGATTCTCATTTACACCAAACCATGTTACATCTCTTATAAGAGACACAGACTGTAGGAGGATTCCATTAAACTCGGAGACCTCTACTGCAGGGCTACAAGCACTGCAGAAATGCACAAGAGGAGAACAATGTCCTTCAAATGGTGGATAATTTGAGATTAAGATTAGCTTTTATCAGGGCAGCTCCAGCTCTGTCAATTAGTCATAAATGGAAAAAACCTCCATCAGAGGTCACACTTGCAAAGCCAGCACTTTACAGGCTCTGCCTATCCACACAGCATTTGAAGGTACTTTAGAATTGAGCTGATAAAATGAGAGGTTACCTTAAGGATTTCCATCTGTCTTTTTCTGTCTGGTTTTCCGGACTTTCACTTTCATAAGAAGCCAGATATAAACCTGGAAAAGTTAGAAATATGTTGTTTCAACAGAAACAGTAAATCCCTTTGTCTCTGCGTTCATGTATGTCCTATCCTGTAACAAAGTAAGGACAGCTTGTTATGAGTTTGTGGCTCACCACACTGCTGGCAACCAGCAGGACGCTGCTGCTTAGTTCACATTTCTATCTTTGGAAATCTGTTAGGTTAGCTTTGATAGAAGAGGAGCCCAGAGTTAATATATGCTGGCATAACCTGCTTATAATAATAATACCAAACAGTTAAATGATCTCCACAAAAAATGAGAGATTTGATATTGTGGCAAATAAACTATTTACATTCAAGACTATTCCCATCACTTAACACAACTTAATCTTTCTCAATCTCTTCAAGGCCTGACAGGACATGGTATCTTAAATGAATACAGAACAGCCTCAAGATAAGAATGAGTTACAGAAACCAGAGACGGAACACAGCAGAAGAAAATAAACAGGTCTCTTTTTCTGCAAAACTTTGCCATGAGGGTGAATTTTATGGTACCAACATGCACCCAGGCTGCACAGCTTCCTGGTGGTGCACTGATGTCTCACTGTTTAAAAAAAAATAATAAAATTAAGTGAGCTATAACTTGCATGCATATGTATTTCGTCATTTGACTGCTTGGTGATGCTTAATTCTTTAATACTGGAACCATCTCAGTATTGAAGTCTGTGCTATAATTCAAGCCCATTTTAACATTAAACTGTTGGGCCACTGCTCCTACATGCTGTGATGGGCCTACAGATGTATAGCAGTATGTCACATACCAGTGCAGCATCTGTCTAATACATTCTCCTGTCTTTTACTCAGGGTGATTCTGCTCACCACTATCCCCATGGGCAGCAGGGGAGGCCTGCTCTGGCTTCAACAAAGGACATCTACCAAAAACAGTATGAATGTGGCAGAGGATATGAGAAAGAAAATATGAAAACAATTAGTGGGTTGAGGTCACCCTTTGTTGGTTCACCAGCCTGAAATCTGCACTTTTAAACACCACTTGTGACTTGACTTTCACTTCATGTCCCTTCAGAGCCTAAATACAGAACAAATGCCTCCATGCTGTCTCTTTTCAATACCTATTACTTTAATCACATTCATTATTCCATTTTGGCACCTGTTTCTCTTAGTATTTAGGTAGGATTTTTGAGGCAGCATTTAGTGTTTTGTAGTAGTCTTTGAAAAGCTGTCTGGTGTGATTAACTTGGATCAGTATAGAAAACTGACTAAAGAATCAAGGAAAAAGAAACCCAACCCAGTACAGCCTATGGGAACACAGCTGTGGACAGTTTCTGTGCATGACAACACACCAAGAAGCAACCAACATGAAACAGTATGAAATGACACAGCCCGTTTTGTTGGGCAGCAGATTGAAAGAAGAAAAGAGAAGACACATAGAACTAAAAGTTAAACCAGAAAAACAATTTCAGAACAGCTTTTTTTTTATAGTCGCAGCTTAAGTTAGTCACTAGAAAATATTCTTCTTAAAAAATCATTTCTGTAAATATTTTTCTGCTGCAGTGAAGGAGGTCAGCTGAATGACCATAGCCTGAAGCTGTGTTCACTGAATAGATGACAGTGTTGGTTTGCAGAAGAGATGAGTCCTGGCTCCATCAATCACTGCATGAATTTGGCTAAGGGACAGCTGACATTCAGAGCAATCCACAACATGGTTCTATGGCCTCTTTTCTTGATTTCAAAAACAGGGCTACCACGACAGCTTCCTAGATAGCAGTGCCTTTTGGACAAGCTATGGAGTAGAGAAAAGTAACCAGACAGCAGCTTCATGAGGTAGAAGGCTTTATCTGCAAAAGCATGTTGGTAGTCTGGGGATAATAAACAAGCTGCATGACAGGAAGGCTAGGAAGGAAATGGGACTGGTCAGTGAGAGAGATCACCCGAGATGGGTCAAGATGTTAACTGGTAGTGATAAAGAGACATTTTTTCAGTGATTAGAGGTTGTACAGTCTTACCATCTTCAGTAAAAATGGGAGCAGTGTGCAGGTAGTGGATTATGTTAGCATCTTGTTCAAAGGGACATTCCACTTGCTTCCATGTTATAAATTCTCCTACTTGCTTAGCCAGTTCCAGGAATTTCTGTAAACATAAACCCATTCCATTCAGATACAGTTCCACTTTCTCACTTAAACAACCACATCCAAGCAGCAGATCAGGATGTAGGGTTCCTGACCACAAGGACATTGGGAGAAAGGAGTCTCGGATCTTTTAGATTGGTAGATTTTCTCTGCTCGTTTGCTGGGGGAAGAAGGAAGAAAGGGTGTGCTCCACTCCTTCTTGCAAGTAGTCTCAGTTTGTATTTAAGTGAAAATGTATCCATGAACAAAGCTATAGGCATAAACTTTGAGGGATCAGAATTAGACACGTTACCTAAGGTGGAGGGACTCCAATTCCTCACAACTCTTTAGGCCTTCTAACAGTAAATACACATGGCAAAAAAGTTCTGATATAACTTGAGGGGATGCTAGGCTCTATCTTATGCATTGCTCACTATCTCACAATGGCCCCAGCAGAAGGACAAATGTAATGCAACTGACCAAAGAGATGCTGAAGAGCTGATTTACAAAGAATCTGAGAGCCAAAGAACTGTTTTCTCATTGACATGGGGCAGCTTTTTCGAAAGCACTTCATCTCTATCCCCATCAGAATGCAAGAACACAGCAACTGCAGCCCACAGCACAACATAAGAATGTGAGTGCCTACACACAGCCACCAGCAACAAACTGCACGAATGTAAACCACCCTCCCCAGCACAGAACTGCAACCACTCAGGATATGTAGCCACCCAGTGCCAGGCTGTGGGAGGGTATTCTGCTTTCGTTGATAGAAATTCTTCTGTGTAAAATTTAGAGCAACAGATTATACAATCAAATCCTTACATCAACAGCATGGCAGACTGCACTGTCATTCTACTTCTGTATTCTAATTTTTGTCTATTGACCGCAACCAATTTATGTCTTACTTTGCCAAGTCTTTTTATTAAAAAAAGTTATTACAAAACAGATACAATGAATTATAAAACATTTTACACTGATTTATCTACATGTGCACCTTTTCCCTTGTTTTCTGAAAGTCGTCCTCCCCTCCAAGCCATAAATATAATCATGCATATTGCTGACATTGTATTTCCAGCAGCCAACCCGCGTGAAGCAAGTCACAACGGTCTGTTTGCAATGTCTATACAAAACGTATACATTATTTCTTTCAGAAAACATTCTGAGATTGGTTTAACCTTCAAGCAGTCACTTGAGATTGTCCCTTTTGGCATATTCAGCCTTTGTTGGGCTGCACTGAAATTGCAGGCACACAATCTTAGTGCTATCAGAATGAGATAAAAACATTTTTCAGATCTTACTTCAAAGTTGACGTGTCCATTTGGAAGGCGATTAGCACATCCTTCATTCAAAAAATAAATGTCTTTGATCAATAGGCTGAAGAAAGGGATCACAATCTGTGAAGAGAAATGGCATAACTATTATCTTTCCAGTTCAGTATTTTCTCTGCATGAAAGAGGAACTCAGTCAGGAGAGAAGAGAAAAAATAAGTATTTACTTTTCACTGTTTTGGGAACTTAAAAAGCAGCAGAGTGAGAAGCAAGCAAAAGGGCAGCAGGATAAAGGGACATCCTCAGCCATCAGGAGAACACTGAAAGGAGCATGAACTGAAAGCAAGAGTCACTGAGCAGACAGCCATGACTATGAAAATACTGATAACTCAGTTTATTAACTTTCTGTACATCCACAGCATAACTGTCTGATGACAAGATCAGACAGCAAAGAACAAACAAACAAACAAAAAAAAGCTACACAACCCTTCCTTTCTCTGCTGGGTCTTTACAAGCAAAGCTGTTGCATACACAAATTGAGCAACTTAAAGGCAGCGGAGAACCAAAGAACCACTGCTGTCTCTGAACAAGGAAAACGATCTCATGAAGTCAAAAGATACTCATGGAGAGCTGGAGCCAGGCCCTGATCCCCAGCTAGAAATTACTGCCAGGTTCTGTGTATTTTTTTTGCAGGCAGATACAAGCTTGTTCTGCCCTGCTCTGCACTACTGGGGGCCGGGTCACATAAACTAAGAGCCTTGCTGGGAAGGAAGGTATATGAATGTGGGCTATGTGCCATGCTAATACAGCTACAAAGCCACCAGCCAGCTCGGAGCGTGGGCAGAGCTTGTTCTCATCTGCATCCAAAAGGAAGCAAAGACATTCCCTAGAATACAAATTCTCCACACATTTCCAAGGGATTTCTGTCTTTGGGTCAGTATTTATTTCCCTAATAAAAATATGCTGCACTGCATGCTTTGTTTTCCAAGTTTCTGTAGTAAAAGCAACAAAAGTGGATATAGTTACATTTCAGCGTTGGATTCAATCCAGAGTCTTTGCTGGCATAAAGTCTGGGTTAGCGCCAGAAACTCAAATTTCACTCCCTTTTGATTCTCCCCAAACCATCCAACCCACCCACTTGCTGAAGGACAATTGCCTCCTGCAGAAAGAAGAAAGCTAATGAGCTCAGACCTGTTCTTCCTCCAAAGCATCACATGACAACGACACACAGCGCTGCCCTGCACATCCTCCCAGCGTTCCAAAGCCAATCAGAGCCATGCCATTAACACTGTGCAGGGTGTCCCAGCGGAACGACTTAATTTTGGATGTGGCAGAGGTCAGCTGACTGCATAGATAAAACCAGACGGTTCCTAACAAGCACACCAAATTCTGCATGAAATGTCCTCCCTCCTTCATCGCCTGTTCTCTCACCCTGCACTTGGGCAGGTTTCTTTCTGCACTCCCAGCAGAGCACCTTGTGTCCCAGGGGGATGGGTGAAGCCTGCATCTTCGCATGTGCTTCTGTGGTGGCCATTTGTTGGGAAGAGGGGCAGAGGGGACTGGGATCTCAAACTGTTACAAGCACAAGTCAATCTGAAGCAAAATATTTTCTTCAATGAGAGAGCTTTGCTGCAAACATTTTCTATTAAAAAAATGATCATGTTTCTTTAATTTTATTCAAAGTCAATAAAATAAATAATGAATAATATGGCTTACAGTAGGCAACAAAATTCCTTAATTCCTACAGCGTGAATTACAAGATCTGCTGTCTCCGTAAGATGCCCAGCATGACCAACTACCAAGTCAAATGCTTCAGCATTTTCTTGAACATAATGTTATGTTCTCAAGGTAAACAGAATATGTTTTTTTCCTATGTAAAATAGATTCCTTTCAATTTAATAATCTCTCTGCTCTCCCTTAACCAGCTAGGGCTAGAGATATGTCAGAGATTGCAAACAACTGCAGGAAATTAAACAACAGAGCTGCTGACTTCAATATATATGATGGCTGCCGAAGAATTAAACTGCAGAAGGATCTCAGACTGATAGGTCCTTGCTGCATGGTGTGAGAGTTAAAAGGGTTTCTCCACTGCTAAAGAACATCCAAAGCCATCGTCTCTTCTTGAGATGTGCTCTTCAGAACAACTCAGCACTCCCTTCGCAGCTGAGTCAGCCTGCGACCAGCTGCTGATCTCATTTCACTGTAACTGCTGTGAGATTCCATTAGCTTCAGCAGATTTACATCAAATTCACAGGGATGTGAGATCAGCATTTGCTCTCGCTCCTCTAGTGAGAGAACATTTAATTCTGTATTATGCTTGTTCATGCAGTATGTACCTTAGCCGCGCTGTGTAGTGATCACCCATTTATGACTATGTGCAATGTTAAAAAGAAACTCTCTTTCACAAAACAAGGGAACAGAATGGAGAAATAAGAAAATAAGCAAGAAGTATGCAGGCACAAAACAGTAGGATGCTGCACTAACATCTCACGAATCTGATCAGAACGCTATGTATCTGCCACAGACAGTGGTGATTCAATTCTTGCTCAGCAGGATGGCAACAAATGAAATGAAAACATAACAGGACAGACTTTCCCTCCAAATTTGCTGCAATGGGTTCAGACCACACTCTTTTGCATGACTTGCAGTAAATCATCTTTCTCTAATGTAAGTGGAGAACCACCTCATCACCTCTGAGTGCTGTGCCCTTTGCTCTGTATCTCAAATCACAGGCCGTACAATAAAGGCTTGTCTGCACAGAGAAGCTGCCTGGCATGGCTGCAACAAAGCACAGCTCCACCTGGGCCTGCCAGGCTGATGCTCCATGCCAAAATAAAAGTCATTTTACTCTGGAATACCTTTTCCTCTGGTTTATCAATCTAAACAGTGTGACCTTTCAAGAGGCACAGAGATGCTTGCCACAAAGTCATCCATTCTACGTGCTCTGCCTGCCCTGGCTTCCTGACAGCAAGTTCACAAAAGCCCTCTGATCCATTTCAAACCCCTTTCAGCTGCAGATTTACATTTCCATTGCATTTAGCAGTGCACAAACCTTGCATTGGTGCACCGTGGAAAAGGGGACAGCAGAGCTTCAGTGACATTTTCGGTAGAGATGCACACCACTGATTTGCAGGTACACGAGATGTGGTCACACCTACCTTCTCCCTATTGCTGTGTGCAGTGAGGGACCTGTGAGCAGCCCCCCGCAATGCCGTTCTGTAGTTATAGAAGTTACCAGTGGGGTCCATCTGGTGCTAGATATACAAAAGACAACAGATTGGTTAGAAAGCAGCCTGAGTCCTCTGAAGACAGCTTTGCCCTTAGTTGTACCAAAACTTGAACAGAGCCAAGCCTCCATCTTCAAAAATACACATAGAAGCCCATGAACCACAAGCAAACAACACTGGCATCAGCTTGAGAAATGTTGCTTGTCTATCAGCCCATCCTCCCCAAGCCACTTGTCGCTTCCTTTTAGATTTTGAGTATCTTTTTGCATGTAACATTCAAGTGCTCTGCTACCCCTCTGCACACCAGCAGCTTCACACTTTCTTCACCATCCTTTAGCAACTTCGGCCGGAATCCAAACCTCTGCCAGTGAAATGTGTCTACAAACATTCATACCTGGATAACAACGTGGAAATTCACAAACATACAAAAACAAATAGATAAATAAATAATTCAAGCAGCATGTCTTTACTGATGTACTTACTTCAAGAATGAAAAATTTGGCTGTTTTTACTTTTGACCAAGTCTTCTTCAACCGAGAAACAGGACTCATGTTCATTCCAGCTAGGAGGGAAAAAGAAGAAAAAAAAAAAAGCCATGGATGAGACTCAGACTTCCCCTTTTCCTTTTGCTACAGCCAGTGGAGACATCTGGTTAGGAGCTGTACTCACAAATGATTGCCATCAGTGAATTAAAGTTCCCTATGTTAAAGCACTCTCGGGCGACATCAATGAAGAATTCAATGACTTGTGCTCGCTGTTTCTTTTTTGCAGGCTGTAAATTAAAACAAGCATTTGTAATGAGCATACACAGAACTGGAGGGCAGAGCAGGCTGAGTGATAGCTTGTGTTCTAAATCCACATTTTAACTGGACTGGAATCACCCCACCTTCCCAAAGAAGATCTTCAGATGGCAATGCTTTTCAATCACAAGTTACGTAGGATATCCCACTACAATTCCTCCCTTCAAAGGAGAAAACATTCGCTTCATTTTGATGGGGCCAACTGAACTAAACCCAAATCTGCCAAGTTTAAAATCACAACAAACACAGCTCCAGTAATGGGCAGCAGGACAAAGAGCTATGCAATGGGAATTCACATGCACAGCAGAGCTTCAGGATGACAGATAACAAATACTGCTCCACTAGAATCTTTTCCAGCAGAAATCTCACAGGATAATTCAATTTTTCCTCTTTTTCTCCCTGCAGGGTTCATTATTCCACACTGTGCTCCTACTACATCAATAGAGCAGTGTACCTCCATGTGTTGCCAGCTCTGTTTTGTAATCTGTTTGTCATTTATCAGCTTGCTCGTGTGAATGCAGCATTACTAAAACTTACTGTCAGATGCTTAGCTAGGTCACAAGAAATAAATCCCCAGGTTTGCTTATTAGTGTACCATCTGAAACTGGTACTGCAAGAATGTGTAAAACGAGCTGCGTGCTTCCCACTTACCATGCAAATTTCTGTTGCTACGAGGTAGCAGAGCCTATTGAACCATTTCACATAGGCCTCAAGGTTACTGGTCTTCTGGTCACTGAAACAAGGCTGGAGAGGAAAAAAAAACACACAAAGACATGTAACTGCAGTTCAGTCAGCTGCCTGATTGCAAAATACCCATTACACGAAGGTAATCATTTGGCCACATCTCTCTCACATACAGAGAAGACTGTGCCTTAGCACAAGAAAAAAACAAAAGAAAAAATAGTTCTAGTTGCTTCTCTATGGGAAAAAAAAATATATATTTCCCTTTAGTCTCCTGAGTGTTCAGGATAATAGGCTGTTGAGTGCCCCAGATCTCTCTTGCTGGCTGCACTGGAACAGGCTGCTTACACACAAGGGAGACTTCACCAGTAAGAGTCACTGCAAAGAAACACATTTTTTACTTTTTACATGAAACTTCACATAAATTCCCTCTGCTGATACAGGTGCAGATACTTGGCTGAACTCTTTCAATTACTTGATATCCAGACACTCTGACTTCAGCAGAGACACAGGGTAGTTCACACAGCCTGAAGACGCTGGTGGGCATCATAAGAACTCGACTCCTTTCTCCAGCCCTAAACTCTGAGACCCTCCATCTAGGACACCCTGCTCCCTCACGGTTCACATGATTTATGTGAACATTCAGTAGTGAACATCTAGTATCCACTAGAGGGTATCAGAGAATACCAAATTTTTGTACTGTTCTGATGATCATCTCCCAGAGCTGCCAGAAATACACTCTGCTAAGAAAAAAAACCGCAATGCATAAACACAGATCCACGGATGTCGATGAAATTACCCATATTATGTCAGTTAGGTGCCTAAAACCTGGGTCTTCATGTTACAGCAAGTTACCTTACATTAAGATTCTTCTAATTAAGGTAATTCAAAGGAAACATCCCTGCGATTCTGTATGCAAGCACATTTAGAAAAAGAAATCACAGTACGATGGTATTAGGCCACCAATCTGAAGCCTGATGTTCCTAGCCATTTTATGGAAGGACTACCTATACAATAAATGAAGAAATAAATCAAAGCATCTCAAAAGTAAACGTTGGCAAACAACACATGAATGTCAAACTAAAAGAAATCCCAACACAGCCCCACTCCACTCTTAGCAGTTCCTTTTCTTGCACTCTGTGGTATTTTTTGCCCCCTGCTACCGCAGAAAAAATACACACAAAACCTTGGTTTTGTTCTGAACATGATATTTCCATCACAGCACTGCTGTTCCATGCCACGGCATAAGAACCACATCTAATGCCATCTAACTTGGTTAAAACGTGCACATTTAATGTCGAAACAGATTGCCTTTTAAAGGTTAAGCTTTATAAATGGCAACAACATTTAGCACCTCCCTAGCATCTTCCATCAGCAGCTCTCAAAGTGCTTGATAAACATTCATAAATGAAACTTTTGGAAGCCTTCATGCAAGAATGATATTTAAAATGATCTCCACCTGGAGGCAATGTGAACCAGAGCCAAAGCCCAGTGGTGTCACTCCACTTGAGGCACGTGCTGCTGTGCACAATGCTCTGCCAGGTCCCACACAATCTCTCAGCTGTAACACACCAGGGCACGGAGGATCTTCCAAGTCATCGCTGGGACCTTTTCTCAACCCAGGAAGAGGATGCTGACAAGTTGCAGACTACCCCTGCTTTCACCAGCTTGCTGACCTGAAGCCCACTAATTCTTTAGTGTCGTATCTTGTGTGAAAACATTAAGGCCTTTTTTTCTGTACTCAGTAGAGCCTATCTGAAGGAAGACACGCTTTGAACTTAGAAGTCAATGCAGTGGTGCATCCTTGCTTTGATATTTGCTCTCCACCTCCCACTCAAATCCTTCCTATCCACCATAGCAGATGTTTCTTCATATTTCTCTTCATATTTTGGTATTCGTCTGTTCTGCCACTACATTTGAAATTCCAGACAAATTCTATGCAGAGCTACAGCCACTGTGCCTGCTTCAGCTTACTACTGAACATTTCCCTCCTAGCATCCTTTCCCCTGCGTGGCTTTATGTAGTTTGACTTCATTCACTGCTGCCTCCCTCCTATCCTTCCAAAATTTACTCAGATTCAGAGCCTCCACTTGATCTCTTTCATTTTACTTCGTAACAGAGATGATGACTTCCTGAGACACTTCATTTTCAATCTCGTCCCTCATGCTCACAGTGGGTTACTGAAATCTCAGCTCCGGCTGCCCTGATATTTCACGTTTCTGACACATCTTTGTCACACAGGGGTTCTTTCCTAAAGGATGTGATCAATGTTCACAACACCTGAGACACCTCTGCCCATTCCTCTCTCCCTGAAACAAACTGCAGAATCTCTGTAACTCCAATACAAGAAGGAGAAAGCTCACGACTGCACATTTGGTCTGTTCATACCTCCCTCCCTTCACCTTTAGAAGTTATTTTGGTGCTTTTTGGAAAACATTTTAGCAAGAAGTCTTCCTCTATCTAATGATGCAATTTTGCCATTGATAGATGATCTCAGTGGGAGCCCTTTTGTGGTTCTGGGTAAGAATTTTCCATCCTCTTTCTTTTCTCGTCAGCATATGAAATACCAAACTCTTGCTCTCCAGCTGGAATTCTCTTTCCTTACTGAAGCAGTCATCGAAATGCTGCTTCAAACCCCACTGGAACTCATGGAAAGACTCCAACTGGCTTCCAAGAACTCTGGAGGAAAGCCTGATCAGGCACTTCGTTCCCTGCAGCGCTCCGGGTTAAAAGCTATTGTATATAGAGAGGAGAGAATGTTGATTCATGACGCACTGACTCAGTACTGTGGTGTCTGGGCACACACTGTGGCCATTACATCACGGCAAGAGTCCTTATGCCTTTAACATTAGGAACAGACATTTCCAGGTTCCACGCAGCTACAAGTTGCGTGCCCTGGCCAAAACAGGTGAAGAGGAAGAGCCAAAGACCAGAAATTCATTGTGTAGGCCAGTCTCTGGCTGGGACAGATTCTCACCATGAAGGAATGGCAATGAACCCACCAGCTAGAGCTCCACCAACAGGTCCATCCTTGCTGTGAGAATACAGCCCTGCTGGCTGCCTTGCCCTGGTGATGTCCCAGGCTTGCTCTTATGGATTACATCAGTTACCGTTGGAAATATTTCTTATGTGGACAGAACATACCTTGGTGCCATCCAGAGGATCCTTGTGTACAAATGCCTGCACAAATTCCTCAGGTCCGATGTGACTTAACCTCTCCTATTAGAGGCACAAAGACAGGAAGAAATGAGAAAGCACTCCACAATGCCTGTTGTTTCTCTTCATAAAACACTGCCATTATCTTTAAGTTCTGAATGGTGTTGTTGAACTTGTAGACAGCCAACTAGCATAAGATGTTAACACTGATAAGAACAATTAGAGTTATTTCAGCAGAAAATAGAAAGTATACATCTTGTAAGTGAGAAATCACAGCAAGAGCTCTCTTCAGTGCTCAGACAGAAAGGTGCTGATGCTCGAGGCCTCATCTGGGAGCTGCAAGACCTCAGTTGCATGCCTGGAGCTGCCACAGACCTACTGCTGCCCAGCATTTCTCAATGGCTGTGTTTCCCAGTTGTTCAAATGGCAGAAATACTGAGCTCTGGTAACCATAGCAATTCGTTGGCAGCTGCGCAGTGCTCTGACCCTGCCTCCCTACCAGCCAAGCTCAGGTGATGCCCTGTGGGGCTGGCTGTGTGCCACTGGGGAAGGCACGAGAGATGTGTGTGCTTAGATTACAGTCATTTCTCACTCTGGAGAGCATCCCAGGCATTACCCAAAACAAGAGCGAATAAAGCACCCAGATCTCTCTTGATAAAGGACAGTCCACCTCCACCAGATCCTGAACAAATGTGGCAATTTCAGTCAGACCAGCAGCCACTGTTTGGGAAGAAGAGCGGTCTATTCCTCTGCATCAGGACTAAAAGACCACAGTAAGCACTGTGGACTAAAAAAATACGCTGTCACTTATGATTCTGCCTCTATGGGAGCTCCCTTTGGTTCCCCAGATGGCCCACCTTGCTGATACAAGTGGACATTGTTTTGTGGAAGGTTTATTCAGCACTGGCAATGACAGCCTTGAAGGAGCCAAGCAGCTGTCAGTGCTTCTGAAATGTACTGTCAGGGCAGGTGTGTTTGGGTGTTACAGCAGTGTGTGCTGACTGCTAACACAGCTTCACCGCCAGCAGTGGGAACTCAGTTATTTCTCTGAGATTTGGTATCTATCATATTGATTAACCTAAAAGGTACCGAGAGAAATATGTGAAGTAAGATTTGGTATTTTACAGCAGTCACAATTAATTATAATAGCTGCCATCCAGCCTATTCAGCCTATCTTAATGAACTACACCCTCAGAGCTATGTTTTCAAATATGCTCCTTAACTCCCTTTGACTTCTACTTTTGCCCATTAGCACAATTCTATTGGAATAAGACAGAAGATCATTTACATTGTCTATAAAAGGAAGAATCTAGCAGCAGTGACTGAGCTAGAGATGGGCACAGCCCACAACAGAACAACAGCCTAGGAGTCAGCAGATGGGGGCTGGTTTCCTCGATATCCAAGGAAACCATTACTGTACAGTCTCCAAAATGCTTTGGTATGAAAGCTAAGTCATTAAAATGATCCCCAGGTTACAAGATCTCAAAGGCAGTATTTTCAGTGACGCAGGAAATATGTTCCTTCTTATTTGCCATGCCCTTTAACACGCTTATTAGAAAAATATTTGCAGTAGGTTGTAGGTCACACGAAGTATTTCAGTAGAAATACTGTGGAATTCGTACAGCCTAGTCATAGGACACTCGAGTAGCATTAAAATCAGTGGTAGTTTTGTGTAAGTGAAAATGTTATGGCTGTTCTTGAGGTATTCCTCTTGTCTTCTCACCATGCCACTGGTGCCTGTACAGAGCTCTTAAACAGAAATAACTGTTATTAAATACAGAAATACTTCTTGCTAACAATTAAGTATCTGACAGTTTCAGTGCAATGCATTTGGTGCACCAGATGCAGTAAGTGAAAGAGAAGGTAGGGAGCAATGATTAAAGTGGCATGAAAATCTTTGGGTGTATCAGTTTTAAAAGTGTAATCTGAATAGAGGGAACCCTTGGAGAACACTTGTATTGTAGAGGAAAGGAAAAGCAAGAAAAAAAACTCCGGGTAAAAGGACTTGTACTTCCTGGCTTAAACTATGTACAGCTAAGAGAGCCAAAGCTGCACGTTCTGAAAACTAATCAAGGTGAGAAGATGATCCAAAATTAGGGCGTTTCTGAGCTATCCCACTTCTTCACAAATACAATAGGAGCTACTTTCAGAATCCCTACATTTAACTCCACAATATTCTCTCCAAACCACAGTCCATTTTATGGTTAATTTTCCCAGCCTTCCTCTCTGGAATGAACACTGTCCACAGGAGGACAGGCAGTAGAAAGCCGTTACAATATCAAAAGATCTGCAGATGGCAGCAATAACATTTTGTGTTCTGCAAACATCCATGGAGGACCTGAACCTGGCAGAAAGGTGTGCAACACAACGCTCTGGCAAAGATTTTGGTACTGCAATTGGTGCATTTATCATCCAGAGACTGATGGAGAGTGGACTGCAGTCCAAGGAAGGAAACAGCGGGACTTTGTTTGGGGGTGGGAAGCTTTTCTGATATTTGCACACCCTTGTATGTCCACGCTCAAAGTAACAAGGGGAAGAAAGAAAAAGGCAGCTCAGATGCTTTACATATCTGTGGGAATGGATTTGAGTTAAAACTTCTTCCCGATTAACAAGGAGTACAGCTAAGAGAGCCAAAGCTGCACGTTCTGAAAACTAATCAAGGTGAGATGATCCAAAATTAGGGCGTAACAAAGTAACAAGGGGAAGAAAGAAAAAGGCAGCTCAGATGCTTTACATATCTGTGGGAATGGATTTGAGTTAAAACTTCTTCCCGATTAACAAACGGGCTGACGATCAGCCATTTCAATGGCACCTTCAGGTTTTATAGCTCAAAGCAAGTACCTTACAGAAGCCTTATTCACCTTCCTGGAACAAAGACTCATATTTAATGACAAAGCAAGCTCAAAAGGTAAAGTGACATGCCCCAAAATGCACAGAAACACTCTGGTAATTTCTCACTTCCCATGCATCTCTTAACCTTTCAGACCCTGCCTCATACTGCAGTGCTGATACAGCAGTGTGATGTGCTGCAGCAGCGCAGACGCTTTTTGATTGTGTCTGGAATACTTAGCAGCTGATGGCTTAAAATAATATCTCTGACTGTGAAAGTTGGAAACCATGCCCACGTACCAGCTCCACATGTGTCAGCTGCTGAGCCAGAGTGTAAGGGTCACTGCAGACGCTTAGGATTTCTCTCTGAATTGATGGAGGTTTACTTTTAAAGGCAACCAGCTTATCAGAGACAGCAGCATTGATCTTGACAATCCCTTCTTGCCCATGGCTGAGGGTGGCAAGCTTCTGATTCAGGGTCTGTAAAAGCTGATTCATCTTTTTCCAGTAGGCCTGGAGAGACAGGGAGAGAAAGAAACGTAAACCACCCACAGAACTTGATGAAGATATGTTTTTGTGCTGCATTTTACCTTCTGCAAAGTATTCCTAAGTCAGCAACAGGTTATCATTTTATTTTTAACATGCCTATTTCAGAACAATCAGTTGGCTTAATTACAGTACTGTGCTCCAGACCACAGAAACAGACTGCAGTCTAGAGAAGAGGCAGGCAGGACTGGTGGGCTGGGCTGGCACTAATACTCGCTTATTGCTGCCAACACCCATGCTGCAGGGAGCAGAGGAGATGGAATGCTACAACATGAGTTACTGCAGCTTTCTGGAGCACAGCAGCATTTGGTACTCATCCTTTATGTCAGCGACACGTTGCCTGAGAGCTCTACCTGTTAACAGTTGCTAGTCAACTCTTATTTATTGAGAATAAGAAGTGCCTTTAAAGCTTTTCTCTCCGTCCTTCTTTGCTGAGAGCAGCTAAGCACACTGTTACTTTTTACCCAGTTGGAGTAGCTTTGAGTATTTAATATCCAAAATGTTAATTGCCAGTGAAAGATGCTCATAAGATATTCCAGGCACAGCCATACGCTCAGCAGGATGATCATTACTCAGTTGTGCAGGTTCCTCTCAGAGACGGAGCAGCTCTTTGCAGGAAAAGAGCAGAGCTGCTGGCCATGGAGGATGGGTAGATAAAAATGCTTTCAACTCCTCGTGACTGACAGATGCAGACATCATAAAACTGAGAGTACTGGTGGATGGGCTCTGAAAACAAGGATTAATTGGAGAAGTCCTTGGGCTAAAACTTCACACCATACTGAGGTGTTCCTCGACAGCCAGGCTTTGTAGGCTCTCCCAGCCAAAGCAGCATCAGGCATGGGTACGACATTTTCACAGAGCAGTCGCTTGGGAAAACAGCTTCCAGGCTGGCCTACTACCAGCTCCAATCCCAGCACAAAGATATCCAGCTGCTCACAAGTGGGATATCTCCTCGCTCTCTATCTGGGCAGATTTCAGTAACATCACGTTGTCAGTAACATCTGTTTGTAACAGGCCAGTGTGAAACCAGAGCCAGCACGGAGCCCTCTTCTCTTACATCTGTACTATACAGCAGAGGTACACCCTGGTACTCTCCATGCAGTTCTTATCATCGCATCAGGGACCTGGCTGGAGTTTGACATCTCATGAAGGCCAACACACACCTGAGTCACAGCCCAGTACACACTTGGGAATGGTTTAGAAACAGCTTGTGTCTTCTCCAGACTTTTCTAGGTGGTAGGCAGTCTTCAGTTTTAGCTGTTGAGGTCAGTATTCTTGTACACATAGCATACCTCCTGCATTCTGGAAGTAGTGAAGAATAACATGCTTCCGTGAACCCTGTTTCCATCACACGTCTGAGGCTGGGAACCCTCAAAAAATTACAAGCGCTTCAGCATTTGCTGCAATGTTTTGCCATATTTGTACACTTCCAACAGAAGTTTTCACATCACTGAGGTACCTTTCAGTTCACCCAAAGATGACATTCTTTTGAGCCAGGCTGGAGCACGGGCCAGAGAAGCAGTATACAGTCAGGCTATCTTGCAAAACAGAGACAAAACAGAGTAAATGAAGCAATGACCCAGGAGGCAGGAGGAACTTGTCTTGGGAGAACATCCACACAGGTCTCAAAATCATGGAGCACGAGTGAAAAATCAAGTGAGGAACAAATCACTGAAAACAGGTTTTTAGAAACTAAAAACTGTTCTTTCAGTTCCTGATGTGTACTAGCTGCAAGGAGAACAGACTGCTGGTCTTCATACAATTCCTCACCCAAACAAATGATCAGACTTTTGATTTACAAAGGCCATCCTGAACCCAAACGGCTGAGTACCATCTAAATACTTCTCCAGTTTACATCCAGGTGTGTTTGCAAAACTCAGCACAGCTTATCAAGTTCTATGATTAGAATGCTATTTTTAGTGGAAACTTAAATAAGGGAATATTTCAGCATTCTGTGAACACATTTTGTAAACGTGGAAATTACTTTTACTAAAGTAGAAGTTTTCTGTGACATATAAAGCATTTGGCTAAAGAACTTTCAGCAGAAAACCCAGTTCTCTTTCAGAAATGAGACTGGATAAGGAATCTTTGCCCACTGAATTCTTCACTGTTGGGTGAAAAGCTAAAAAGCAGAATAGTTTGAAATGCACTGATGTTTAGTGGATCTCTCAACAAACAGTCATCAAAAGATCTACTTTCATAGGGAACATGGCACAAAAAGATAGATACAGACAGACAACAGTAACCAAAGGACTGAGAAACACAAACAGATAGCAGAATGAAATGAGAGACAGATAATAAAAATAATTCATAGAATAAAGTTCTTGAGGAGACTCACCTAGAAACCTTACTGTACGTTGGAGGAGAGAAAAATTAAGCCTGCTTTTGTCGCTTTAAAAGCATTTCCTGCTTTCTTTAAATTATGTTCACTAATTGAAAACAATATTGTTCATTACCTTCAGTGTGCTGATAATTACCTTACCACAAAGTGACCCCCCATTGTACAGGAGCTGCATGCTGGACTCTTATCATCTATTTCACTGCGTTGCCACATTAACAGTCAAAAGAAGCATACTTCTGTTTAATATTAAAAGCAAATGTTTCATTCTTAACTGGGAAAGTTTCTCTGAAGATGGCAGGCATCAGCAGGTGGCTTAGGAGCTCAAATTTTAATTAAAATTTCTAACTCTAAATGCAAATCACAGCACTTACCAAGAAATGCTTCTCAGCATGGACACCTTTATAAGCACATCACAGAGCCGCTGGAAAGTGGACTCTACAAAGGACAGAAGCATACACTGCAGGGGAAAATCCTGCATTAACCTACATGGACTAGATGACCTCACAAATCTTTCAAGCTTTAATTTCTGTGGTCCACAATGGGAACAACTTTTTTGCAAACATCTGATGGGTATGAGCACTCTTTCGTGCTGCTCCTTAAAAAAAAGAAAAGAAATTTATATCTGCAGGATATGAGCTGCTCCTTAAATTAATTATTGATTTTGCTCAGGCATAATCACTTGTAATTATGGGTCTAGTAGTATTTGTAAAACAGTGATCTGAAGCCAGTCCAGTCAGAGGTCCACCAAAGCACCCACGAACATCAGCATGTAGCTATGCACCTTCCAGAGCAAAGGTGTGCAGCGTTGGTCCAAGTTAGGCAAATAAAAGCCTGCTTTGTACGCAGAAGGCTGATCTTACCCTGGAAAAGAAAGCTCTTTTCCAGAGCAGCAACTTAACATGAAGCAGGTGCCTTTAAAAGGGTTTTCTCTGTTCCCATAAGGGCCCTGCTGACTGCCCTATGGGCTGCTTCCCTCTTTTCAGCATACAGAACTTGGGCAGGTCTGTACAGGTTTCTCTCACTTCAGATGCTGATGCCCTTTTTTGTGGCGGCTGGCTGAAACAAGTTCATTGCCAGGGAGAGTTTGAACTGCTCTAATCAATGAAGCCGAGGTCACCATGGCCTCTTCTGGCAGCCTTTTTTGTTTCCTCCACCTCCAGTGAAGCACCACACAACTTCCCCTTCCCATCCTCCATCCTTGCAGCCAGTCAGCAGAGCCGTGCCAGCCTACAGCCACCCAGAGCTGCCAGCCCAGCCCAAAAGCAGCTGTTTCCATTGCTCTCATGTTTCATGTGGGTAGGAGGCTTCAACTTCCTTTTCATTACACTGCAACTCTGCTAATTCCTTTTTTTTTGACTCTACGGGTGCTGTGCTTTTTGTCATACTGAAGTGCATACATCTGTGTCCTGAAACCAGGCCTTGGGGCAGCCCATGGAACTGAGTTCCCATGGTTAACCCAGACGTAATTAGAGCTCTATATGCTATTTGCTCTTATCCTTGTTATTTTCACAGACTTTGTGGTACTTTTAATGTTTCTGAATTAACCTATGGGTTTCACCCACCTGAGTTTACAAGCAGGTCTCCCAGATGTTCTGTTCCCCATGTCCTGCTCTGCCACACACACAGCTCGTTCATTTGAATAACAGGACCTACCATCTAAACTGAGTTTCTGCCCAGAGGGCCACACACTGCTGTCTTCTGCCACTTCTATGCTCCCAGAGAAGTTACATGTCCATAAATACGCTTTTTCTTTTTTTAAAGGTAAGAATGCTCCCTCGCTATCTCACAATATCAGCAAAACAGACTGGATTCAACAGAAGCTGTCTTGGCCCATAGATCACATGGACTTTGATGGGGATCCCAATGGCACCAGTCTGCCATTCTGTGTCTACCTGCCTTCTGTCTGCGTGCCAGCTCTACAGCATCAACCAGCTCAAGCACAGCGTCTGTGAACTCTCTCACAAAAGGCAGGAATGTGTAAACCAAACCCGTTTGATTCACTAATGAAAAAGATGGCAAAATGCAAAGATTGTTTTACAAGTTACCAGACTGAAGACACGAAAGGTAACAAAAAGGACAAAAACACCCCGTGGTGATTCCACTTTTACAACCACTCATTTTCTTAGAGATAGAAAGCCTTTATCAGGTTCCTTCAAGCCAATAATAGTATTTTTCTAGCCCTACAACATCACTTGATGACTGCCTGCTTCTTCCTCTCTCACACACTACCTCAAACACCCTGAAGTGCTCCCTCAGCCATTGCTTGTGCAGGGTGGTTGCTCTCGAGTCATGATACTTCATTCTTCTTATAGATGGTAACTTGGGAGATCACACCACTCTTGCTGTTTGAACTCTAACCACACTTTCGGTGCATGCTATGTCTCAGATCTTCTATCATTGAGATGGGAATAGTTTTCTTTTAGAAACAAAGGTGCAGAAGATGGGTTCTGCTGATCACTGTGATGTATCCCCATGTCACTGCCACAAGAGAGACGTGGTTTTCAGCAAAGCTACTAGAGGTTTTAACCATTAGGGGAGAACAAAACGGATTTTCCAGAGAAAGTGGAAAACATCAGAAGGAAAAGGAAGAACCAAGTGGGAAACTGCAGTTAACACTTTCACACGATGCCCCCCATCAGACATCCTCACCTCATCACATGGGGCTATCCTGTGAATCATGTCTTTCAGGTGGCCGATCATCCGCTCTTCCTGAAAGTCATACGGGAATGTTTCCGTCCACTCCGTCAGCAACTGCAAGATTTTGGGTCCAAATTTTCTGATCCGTGCCTGAAGTGAAACCCAGAATAAAGCACAGGGATTGAAACGTGTTTAGTCATTGAAGTTCCAGCATTTTTATGAATGTGGGGCCAGATTTTCAAAGAAGGCACTTACAGTTGCACCTACAAAATCTGCACACATGCAAACAAATAGTGCAGTGCACAAATGACACATTTTGGCATGCAAAAATACCAGCACGTAGATGCATACACAGCTATCTGTTTTACATGCAGATTGAAGTATTCTGCACATGCAATTGGTCTGTTTGTGCCTGGCTGGACATTTTGTTGGTGCAACCTTTGTACCTTTTTTAAAAACAACAGGCTCTTCTGATGATTTGAACCATGTGTTCTTCCTTGATCACAACCCTCCTGTGCTTTCATCCACTAGTAAAAAAAAAAAAACAAAACCAAAAACCTGACCGTAGTTTATTTCTTGACCAACAAAGTGGTGAATCTTGTTTCTTTTTCTGTCTGGATGAAAAAAAAACACCTCAGTGACCAGTGGCAGACAAAACACGAGGAAGAACTGATGGACACACCAGCATTTCATCAGCTTTACCTGAACTGGTGGTAACACTGCTCTTCTCCAACACAAGCTTAAGGTCGTGATAAGACAAGGACACTCACTCACATAACACACAGCTGGTGCCCACTTTGCTTTTGGTGTGTTTTATCTGAGGATGCAGCAGCAAGAATAGTTAGGATGATACAGGGCAAGGAGGGAAATGTGGGGCACAGCACAACTGGTGCCTTAATATTATCTCAACAGACAGCCAGTGCAGCTGCTTCCAAAGCTTTCATCCTCTGTTATCCCAGAAGAAGGGAAAAGGAAACTGCATTAAACAAGAAACTGCACTTTTATTTACAGAAAACACAGAGCAAAACAAACAGCCTTCTTCTGCATCCTACGTACTGTAGCTAAAGTATACCCTATAATCAGTGAAAATTATACTCTTGAGTCTCTGCTTTTCAACCAAGGTGGTTGAAATGCGTATTTCAGCTTTCCACCAACAACAGGTTTCAATGAACCACATCTCTAAATATAACTGCTGTCAGCTAGCATTAAGCTCACTCTCAAAGACCAGCAGGTGGCTGCTAAAGGGAAAGCTTTATTGGAAACTGCAAAGATCTGGGGAGACATTTGCTCCAGCTGTACAAACTGCTATTCTGAACTGAAGGAGAGGACGTTGTGCAAGTCACAGGACATGGCTCAGGGGATGGGAGGTCACTAGTGTGCAAAGTTTCGAGGTCAGGCCCACTCCCAGTGACATAAAATCAGCTGTGTCCCACCACCTGCACATTACTGCAGGGATTCCAAAATGCAGATTCACTTCAGGCAGACTGGGAGTTCTTCGTAATACTTCTAATTTCTTGAAATGAGCAGCAAAACTCTGGAATATTCACATTTTCATCCTCCTAAATTTGTATCTCAGAGTGTCATCACAGAACAGAATCAATCACGCCTCAAAAAAAATTGTCTTGGATGCTGCACCTCACACAGATAGTTCTAACTTGCACTGTATGTGCAGCCTACATGCTAGACTTCCATGTTGTCTGGCTGGTTGTACCATGTAGTGAAGGCAGAGATCCTGTTACTCATGCCAACAGTTCCCTGGGTGAAACAAGCACACATTCAGATATCAGTAAAGGGGCATTCTGATGTCATTGTGTTTCAGTGCTGGGAAGGCTGATCCTGAAAATCATTCCAGAATTCTAGGTTCTTTTTTGGAAAATTGCAACCAATGCACATTCTTCTCCCTTCCACTGCACTCAAGATGCAGCTCCTGTTCCAGGTATTGTACTGGAGAGGTCTCCATCAATGCACTGAGGAGAGCTCAGATGGAATCTGCTGCTGAATGGGATCCAGTGGCATCCATGTGCACCACAGCGCCTGCAGGACTGCCAGAGGATACACGTCTGCTGTCGTACACAGTACCAGTCTGCACAGTCACTTGGGCAAAACAGGAGGACTGTGACACACTAACAGCTTGGATTTGCTCATTCTGTTAGCTCGTCATAGCCTCACCACTGCTTCAACTCGTTCCTGGTGTGCCAGACAGTGCTGCTCTGCAGCACGGCTGTGCAGACAATCTGTCAGTGCTGGCAGTGAGGGATTAGTGGGAAGCTGCATGCTGTTATGTGGTGTTCACAGTGACAGGTAAGGCCAAGGGGAACTGTTACGTTCTGTACCAGAAGTAAGAAAGAGAAAGGGCAGATGCATTAAGTAAAATGGGGGAGACAGCATTGTGCTGACATCTGCAATTGACAGCGTGTGAGGTTTACATCCTACCTCCTTGCAACCCACAGGCTTCATCAAAGCCTTAAAGAAGTTAAGAAGGAAAGTCACCTGGGAAGACTGAAATGGGGAAAAGGGAAATCAGAAGAAGATCTGAAGTGACTGGTGCCTGGAGCACTGCTCTTGGACATGGATACTAAGATGCCTCAATGTCAAGATCTCAGCAACAACCATCATTATAAGAAAGTCTCATTCGATTCAAAAGAAGGCAAAGCCACACACTGGATCACCAGACTCTGCCTGTTGAAAATGATGAACTAACCTTGTCCAGCACAGGGTCGTCCAGCCGCTGCTGCTCAATGCACTTGTGACAAACTCGGGACAAAAGCTCGTGGGGTTCAATGAAGAGTCTGGAACTCAGCAGGAATGTAAAGATATAGGCTTTCTGTGGGAGAGAAACAAGAAGACCTACTACAAACCATACGTTCTGTGGTTGTATTTCCACTGGAACTGATAGGACACAGCTGAGTGTCCAAAAGGCAGGAGGATTCCTGGCCCTTGAAATGGAACTGGTTACAATGAGTCAGGAAGCAGCAGCATCTTCTACCTCCATGGCAAAGGTGGCCCAGGTACTGGAGACAGCACCACCAGGAATGCACAGAGAGCAGTGAATACTCAGTGTGTAGACTCAGGCTTCCCTTTGCTGTACTGGGTTGTGAGCTCAGAAACCCTGGGGTCAGTCACATCTCGTTTCTGCCCTGGAGTCTCACCCTGCCTCCATAAGGGAACACTGAATTTATTCGGCTGCTACTCCACATTTCTACCAGTCTAACTATGCCATATGCAGCCTTCCATCTGAAAGCTGAGGGGAGCAGGCCTGTTGGATAAATCCTTGGACTATTTAAAGTATTCCTGCAGTGAAATTAAAATACATGCATGAATCTTCAGAAATCTGCTTCCCATCCCCTCCTGGTGCCTGGATTATCTTCTTTCCCCCAGACCCAGCCATGCTCCTGAGCAGCGGGTGTAATATTTCATATCACACACTGCTTAATGAAAATCTCACAGCCTAATCTGCCCATTACCTATTTTATTGCCTTTCTGTTCTCTTATAATTAACATGCTTCTTTATTACTTATTTTTAGCTGATCAGAAATTGAGCTGTGGGTAATTTAAAACATGCTGTCTGCTCTGCATTGATAACTTTAGTAGACCTCTAAACTGCCTAGAAGTCAATGCTACTCTGCTGCTTTGAGATACAAGCCTTTCCACGGAGACATATTAGCACTTGAAAGTCTTGCAGTGAAACTCTGTTCTATTCCACTGAGTACGTGCAGAATCCGGTGAAGTCAATGGCTTTCAGGACCATAAACCTGCTTCCACTACAGATCCTCACATTAGTGGTGAAGAAACACTGAGTATTCACTGACGGAGTGACGATCAGGATCTGCGTCCTATCGTCCAGCGACTGCAAAGTCACTGTGAGCATGAGCATAACCCTTCGTTTGTTATGAGGCCATCAGAAGCAGCGTTTCTGTTATCACTGAGGAAATGCTTTGTATCTACAGTGACACCTGGACAACTTGAACAGCTACTGAAATTCAACTGAATGCCCATTCAGACTTGATTTCTTTTTTTGCTTCATCTAACCCTCCCTGGGATGCACTTTTGAAGTTCTCTTGACAAATCGCTATTTCATCGTCACCATGCATTTTTTTTCTCCACTTTGTTTTCTTATTTAAAGGTAGCATCAAACTCTGGGATCTACTTTTTCAAGGAAACAAACCCAGAATGGTGAAACAGCATTCAAAGCAGTGCATTAATTTACCCAGCTTTTAAATTACACCTCTTAATTCAAAATCAAACACATCGGCACTTTTGCATAAAGCACTATCTCAATGCATCAAAATTAAACTGTTTATTATACTGTGAATTGCTTACCTCAGGGTAGTAATCAGTGGTAGGGATGAGATGCTGGATTAGAGCATCCAGAGATGCTGAGGTAAGGTTTCCATCCTGGAAGATAAGCCCTCCTTGTTCATCTTCTTTAGAAGTATGTAGATGAGGGCTGAAGCTACATGGGGTAAACATACTGGTAGAACTCAGCGTTTGGGGCATACCTTCCTGCAACACAGAGAAGCTCACGTCAGGCAAAGATCCATCAGATTCATAGCCACATCTGTAGTCTGGCTGTTTGGAAAATCAGAAGCCACTAATGAGAGTTTCCTTCGCAAAGTTAACATCATCCCTTCATTGCATCTTCTTTTAGAGTTGTCATTAGTGGATTACACTTGCGGTGGGAAATACAGAGGAAAATGGGCCATTTTGGTTTGTATCTTTGATGATGATGGTGGCTGCTCTGGGCTCCCACTCCAGTCAAGGGCTCTATGCCAACTCCTCTTTCTGCCACCAGCCCCACACAAGAGAGATGAGGCACTTGAGACTTGGACTTGGGAGGTTCTCAAGGAGAGCAAAGCTGAGCTGCTGCTTCTATCCTCCACCCTTCTGAGAATGAGGCAGGGAGGACTTAGGGTGAGAGAGGGAGGGAAGAGGGGTGCCACCCCAGGAGAGCCATCAGAGTGGGCGAGGGGCAGCAGCAGGAGCAGATGTCAAATGGAGGAGGATGGAAAAATGGGAAGAGTTGGAGGGCGCAGAGAATGCGCGATCTGATCAAGAGCTTAAAGAGCAAAGGAAAGAGAAATGAGGAAAAGGGAGAAGGCAGACACCTACACTGTTTTTGGAGCCTGAATTTAGTCAGCCCTAGATCTACACTTAGGTACTAAATATACTTCAGAAAGATCCTGAGCACTCACCGACTTCACAAGAGCTGCAGAGTCCTCAGTACCTTTGGAAAGGAGGCTGAGCAAGCTCTGAGCATGCAGCCCACTTCAAGCTTGCTATATTTCAGTTCCTCAGCTTGTATTCTAGGCTGTATTTCTGTTCTGTAGCTTACAATCAGCTTCAGGTGTTTCCTCCGTTGAGCAAAGCTGGGTTTTGGTTTGCTTTTTTTTTTTTTGAGGTGGTGAAGCAGGACAGATCTCACCCTGAGGGTTTGAAAGCATCTCCAGTTGTCTCCAAAATGCCCCCTAAGAAACAGCTCTGCTCTCAACTAGAGGCTGGGTATGGGACAGGATAGGGACTGGGAAAAGGACAGTGCACTCACACTCCCAGGTCAGCAAATGTATCATCTTGAACAAGGGTCTTTAACACACACGGCCTCTGAAGCCTGACAATTTGCTTGAGCCTTGAGGAGAATGGGCTGCAAGCAGGCAGGGTGAGAAACTCTGGGAGATACTGGGAGCTTCACAGTGCTGTGGGAAGCTGGGCTGTATGGGCAAAACTCATGACTTCATCCTCCTAGGGAGCATCTTCTGCAGGCTGGGAGCACGGGCTGCCTCCAGGCTTTGCAACTGTGCAAACAGGAGCCAAAAGAGTCAAAACCAACCAATTCCTGCCTCGACTGAAAGGCAAAATAGATCTCAGGGATTTTAGTTGAAAGATCAGAATATCTAAATGGCATTCCAGCTAGAACGGAAGTCAAAGTGTTTAGTTTTAATAAACATGCAGATGTGCCAGTAAATAAGGCTTTAAGAATAAGCAATTGCTGCTTTTTGTACACATCTCAGACTTTGTGTAGTAAATGGCAAAGACTGCCAAATCCCATTTGTTACTTCTAACATGCGCTATGTACATCTTGTTTCTATGGCAATAATCCCAACAAAGATTACGAGTCCATATAGATCAAGAAATAAATCTCACAGACATATTGCTGTCTAGATGAGGGAAAGCAAAAGTTAGAACAGCTGTGAACTTACAGGACACATGCAGGCTTTGGTGTAAAACAGAACTCAGTGATTTATTCTGTGCAATCCCTCACTGTCAGCACCATTTTGTATTATCAAATCAAAACGTGTCTAAACAGGATATTGCCTGAACTTCTACATCTCATTACATGAGAAATCTTGCTGAAATACATGGTAATACTTCTTAAAAGTTTGCTTGTTTGTTTTTTTAAACAAACTGAATAAAACCAGCTGTACACATAGTGCTGAGACATCCTCCTTGGGTACTGTCAAGAAATTAAGTTTGACTTTTTACCATTAAGTTCCTGATCTGATCTACAGTTTTCAGGCAAGGCCAGCAGGCCAGCATCAGATCTGTTTTGATCTGAGCTGTTGCCTGGCTGCCACCTCACTTGCCACTGCAGGGAATAATGCTTCTGCCATCAATGATGTGCATTTGTTGCAGACCTGAAGGTTTTAATGTCACGTCATTTTGCTCACTGGGGGGTTTGGAAGGAGCAGAGATGCCCTGCCAACAGCACACAGGCTCTACTGGCAGTGACAATGGCAGTGAAATACCATGTGTACCTTGGAGGACCAGTCTGATAAATGGTGCTTTGGAGGGAGCACTGTTGGAGGGGTCTTAGTGAAGGGCAGAGCTCCATGCCCTGCCTTGCAAAATGACGGATGGCCCAGGTGGTTGCACACTTACAGCATTCAAACCAACCCTGTGCTCTACAGGACTGACACCTGGAGCTGTGAAAACCACCTCCAAACTGCTTTAAAGAGCAGGTAAAAAAAAACAAACCAACCCAAACAATACCTCCCAAAAAGGGAATGGAACCTGCTTCTGGGATGAGTCTCCATTCTACAGGTGCCCCCAGCTGGGAGGAGGCAGGATGTGTAGCTCTTTCCTCGCCTACAGAAAAGCAAGACTGTAACATGGAAAAAAGCAGGCTGGACCCTACAAAGAGGCAACAAAATAGGCAGAACTGATTTTGCATTTATTTTACCAAAAAGGCAATGGCCACCTGCAGTGGCACAGCGTAACCCCAGCTCCATGCAGGCAGTGCTGAGCAAGAACCAGCACACAAATACCCTGGTTGCCTGCTGGGTCACTTTGCAACAAAGCGCCCTGGTCACTGTCCCTGATGCTGAGGCTGTTTTTGGCCAGGAGACTCTGGTCAGGAAATGCTGCAGCTTAGGCATAACTTGTTCAGCTGTGGCTGATTTGGATAACAGAAGTTGGGTTTGTTGGCAGCGATCCTACCCGCTGCAAAGGAAATGCACTGCTGTGGTGTCACGATAATAACTGAAATGGGGAATCTTCCTTTGCATTTTTATTGCCCTCTGCTCTTTTCTGCTGCTCTTCTTTCTCGCCTTTCATTATCCTTAGCTTTTACTGGCTATTACAGAGTGCTTTTTCTATACGTTCTTATTAACATATTCCACACTTTCTTAAGATTGAAAAAAAAAAAAAAACAACTAAGAAATAATGATAATATAATGCTTTATAATCTTTCCTTCACTGTCCAGGACAGCTCAGTGATGAAAACAAGTAATTAATAGACACTTCTCGCTGCAAATCTTACAAAACCTTTATGGACTTGATTCACTGAGCCAGAACACAGAACCAAACAATCACCAATATTTGGGACAGAAGCCACCCACAAACCCTGCACTCATCTACATCTGCAAGTGCCTTAAATCTTTGGAAAGCCAGTGCCCAAACCTGGAAAACTGAAGAGGACATGGCTCAGAGAAAGGGCTGCTAACCACACGGCAGCGGGGCCCACCAGCCTGCTGGCAGCCTGTCTCCTCTCCCACTGATGTTTCTCCAGGCTCAAACGTAGGCTGCAGCAAGTGGTCCAACGTGCTAAAGGAGCTGAGATGAAAGCATCCCACCAGCACTGCCCTGCCTGCTGTTACACCACCCCTGCAGCAACTACAGTTAATGCTTACGTGGACACAAAACGTCCCGGAAATATTTAATGTGTTTTTTAGTGGCTTTGATGTGATAAGTGTTTCATCCTTTTATCAAAAACTTAATCACAGTGTTTACTTTTGATCTACATTTCATCTCTGCCTTCCATCTGCTCTGCTTCTCTCAAGGGAAACAAGAGCTGGTGCCATGTGACAAACAGAGTGGGGCTGCGGATGTATCTTCCTACCCGCTTAACTTCCAGATTAACAAAATAAATAAAACTCTTCCCACTCCAAGGATGAAAGGCACGAGCTTCTGAAGATCCCTCACCAGAATTACAGGAGTTGGAGAGGATGGTAAGGGAAGGTGTGGAGTTGGGGTGCCCACCTGTGCCATCATGGAAGCTTCAGACCATAACGGAGCAGAAGCTCTGGACACAATTCACTGCTCTGTGAGCACAGGCAAGGAGCTTACCCAGAGTGCGGGGGACCCAAGGTCATGAATAACCTGGCAAGGCACAGACTTGAATATCCCTAAGTTAGGGATTTTATTATTTAAAAAATTATCATTTAATGATTTATTACCTAAAATAGATAAAGCTGTTCCCAATACAGGGATGAAAGGCACAAGCTTCTGAAGATCACCAGAATTATACAGGAGTTGGAAAGGATGGTAAGGGAAAGCATGGAGAGGGAAGTAGAAGAAAGAGGAGAGAGAGAACTCTGATGTTACAAAAAGAAAACCATTGCACAGTAATTGCTTCCAGTTGTCAAGACTGTGGTTGTAAATGTTTTTTTCAGCTAGAGTACCTGGCATTAACAAACTCATAATGTACTTGGTGCTGATGTAATTAGAAAACTGGTAGGAGATGTAACTTTACCTTCTCAACAGTTCATAAAACATTCAATTTACAGCCCATGAATTTGTTAGATTGCAGAAAACTCAACCTGTCAATCCCAATACCATTGGAAATGGTTAAATGAGCAATAAATTGAAGCCACGCAACTTACAAACACAAAAGAATCAGCAAAGAAAAGAACCGTGGGATGGGAAAGGTGGGGAAAAAAAACACTTAACTGCAATATTCTCCAAACTCAATAACAATGATTACATTTAGGCACAGGCTGGCTCCCTCTCCTTTCCTATTTATTCCTTGCATCACTGAAGCACTTCACTGAGATTCACATCAATGAGATTGCAAGAGCAGCAAGTGAATTTACGAGCTTCGGTTTCTGGGTATCTAATGAGACGCAACACACAGAGGTGTGTGGGGCAGCTCCAACCGAGCCGCAGCTTCCATAGGGCACTAAGGAAGCACATAAAGTACAAATCCTCCTAATCCTACTTTCAAGGGAAGACTCGCACCAAAATGACCTCTGCTGTAAAATGCAGACACAAACTTTCCAGTTTCCCCATAG